TCTCAATGGATGCAGAGAAAGTATTTGATAAAATACAACACCCTTTCATGATGAAAACTCTAAAGCAAATTGGATATAGAAGGGACATTCATCAACACAATCAAGGCAATCTATGACAAACCCATGGCCAGTGTCCTATTTTAGAGGGAAAAGTTGGAAGCATTCTCACTGAGATCCAGAATCAGATAAGGATGTCCAATCTCACCACTGTTATTCAAATAGTCCTGGAAGTTTTAGCCAGAACCATCAGGCAACAAAAAGAAATAAAAGGGATACAAATTGGGAAGGATGAAGTCAAACTACCCCTACCTGCAAATAGGGGATCCAAAAAACTCCACTGACTATTGGAACTCATAGAAGAGTTTGGTAAAGTGGCAGGATATAAAATGAACACAGAAAAATCAATAGCCCTTGTTTACAGAGACAATGTCTTACCTGAGAAAGAACTTCTAAGATCAATCCAATTCATAATAGCTACAAAAAAAATCAAATACCTTGGAATAAATTTAAGCTAGGATGTTAAAGATCTCTACAATGAAAATTACAAAACAGTAAAGAAAGAAATAGATGACAAAAAAGGAAATCTTTCATGTTTATGTATTAGAAGAACCAATATTATCAAAATGTCCATACTACCAAAAGCAATTTACAGATTCAATGTGATCCCAATCAAAATACCAAGGACATTTTTCTCAGATACAGAAAAAATGATGTTGAAATTAATATGGAAACACAAGAGACCCTGAATAGCTAAAGCAATATTATACAACAAAAATAAAGCTGGAGATATCACAATACCAGATTTCGAGACATATTACAGGGCAGTTATAATTAAAACAGACTGGTACTGGTTCAAAAACAGATGGACAGAACAATGGAACAGAATAGAAATGCCAGAAGTCAACCAATATATCTACATCCAACTTACCTTTGACAAAGGAGCTAAAATCAGTCTCAATCTCTTCAACAGATGGTGCTAGGAAAACTGGATCTCCACATGCAGAAGTATGAAGCAAGACCCCTACCATGCATCTTACACAAAAATCCACACAAAATGGATAAAAGACCTAAATCTAAGACTCGATACCATCAAGTTATTAGAGAACACTGGGGAAACCCTGCAAGACATCAAGCATAGGCAAAGAGTTCTTGGAAAAGACCCCAGAGGCACAGGCAATCAAAGACAAAATAGACAAATGGGATTACATCAAATTGAGAAGCTTCTGCACAAAAGAAACACTCAGCAAGGTTAAGAGACAATGGACAGAATAGGAGAAATTATTTACCGACTATTCAACTGATAAAGGTTTAATAACCAGAATATATAAAGTGATCAAAAAACTCAACAACAGGGCCGGCGCCGTGGCTCAATAGGCTAATCCTCCACCTTGCGGCGCCGGTACACCGGGTTCTAGTCCCGATCGGGGCGCCGGATTCTGTCCCGGTTGCCCCTCTTCCAGGCCAGCTCTCTGCTATGGCCAGGGAGTGCAGTGGAGGATGGCCCAGGTGCTTGGGCCCTGCACCCCATGGGAGACCAGGAAAAGCACCTGGATCCTGGCTCCTGCCAACGGATCAGCGCGGTGCGCCGGCTGCAGCGGCGGCCATTGGAGGGTGAACCAACGGCAAAGGAAGACCTTTCTCTCTCTGTCTCTCTCTCTCTCACTGTCCACTCTGCCTGTCAAAAATTAAAAAAATAAATAAATAAATAAATAAACAAAAAACTCAACAACAACAATACAAACAACCCAGTTAAGAAATGGGCAAAGGACTTAAACAGACATTTTTCCAAGAGGAAATCCAAATGGCCAACAGATACATGAAAAAAAATGCTCAGAATCACTAGCCATCAGGGAAATGCAAATCAAAACCACAATCAGGTTTCTTCTCACCTCGTTAGAATAATTTCATAAAGAAATCTAAATGAAAGATCTCCTCGAGTGAGATCCCAGTGGAAAGAACGGGTCATCAAAGAAGGAGGTACCTTTCTCTGAAGGGAGGAGAGAACTTCCACTTTGACCATGGCCTTGTCTAAATATGATCAGAGTCGGTGAACTCAGGCGGCTTCCATAGCCTTGGCAGCTCATGACAAGAGCCTAGGGTGATTACTGATGCCATAAACAAGAGTGTCAATTTGTTAAGTCAACAACAGGAGTCACTGTGCACTTACTCCTCATGTAGGATCTCTGTCCTTAGTGTGCTGTACATTGTGATTTAATGCTATAACTAGTACTCAAACAGTATTTTTCACTTTATGTTTCTGTGTGGGAGCAAACTGTTGAAATCTTTACTTAATGTATGCTAAACTGATCTTCTGTATATAAAAAGAATCGAAAATGAATCTTGATGTGAATGGTAGGGGAGAGGGAGTGGATAAGGGGAGAGTTGCAGGTGGGAGGGACGTTATGGGGGGGAAGCCATTGTAATCCATATTCTGTACTTTGGAAATTTATATTCATTAAATAAAAGTTAAAAAAAAAAAGAAACATCCTATGGTATCTAAAAGAAAAAGTTGATGGAATGTTTTTGTCTTGTTAGAAGGCCAAATTTGGAAAGAAAATAAAAGACTTTGACAGAAAAAAAAAAAGAAATCAACAAACAAATGCTGGTGAGGATGTAGGGGAAAAGATACCCTCATCCACCATTGGTGGGGATGTAATTGGTACAGGCCACTGTGGAAAACACTGTAGAGATACCTCAGAAATCTGAGTATAGACCTAACGTACGACCCAGCCATCCAACTCCTGGGAATTTACCCAAAGAAAATGAAATCAGCATATGAAAGAGTTATTGCATGTTTATTGCAGCTCAGTGCACAATAGCTAAGATATAGAATCAACCCAAATGTTAATGAACTGAAGACTGGATGAAGAAATTATGGGATATGTACATCATTGAATACTACACAGTGGTTAAAAAAAATAAAATCTGGTCATTTGCAACAAAATGGATGAAACTGGGCAACACCATACTTAGTGAAATAAGCCAGTCCCAAAAGGACAAATACCAATGTTCTCCCTGATTTGTGTTAACTAATAGAGCATCTAAAATGTACTCTATAGAAATGAAATTAACACTTTGAGATGCAATGACTTTGAACAGCCCTTGTCTCGACTTAAGGAAGTTGGTTTTTTTTTTTCATACAATTTGTTGAACTCTTTATTTAGTATAGAGTTAATCAAAAATAGATCTTACAAGAATGAGAATAGGAGGGCAGGAATGGTAGAAAGAATCACTATATTCTTAAAGTTGTATTTATGAAATGTGTGACGTTTGTATTCCTTAAACAGTTTCTAGGGGAAAAAAAAGAGTATTGGGTTTGTTTTTAGGTTTTTATTAGGGTGATTCTGTTGTAGTTTTGCTCTCAGTTTTAGTGTATCTCCTTAGTATTGTATGTAGTTTTTATTCTTAAGTTTTGGACTTTTTAGAGTTTCAGTGGGAAGTTCAAACTGATTAAGTTCTACTAACTTGGTGAGCTTCACGCTCCAAACTGATGTCCCTGCAGTGGACAGCTGTCTGAGCCTTCTGGTTCTATTTTCCCATGGAGTTCCTGCAAGTTTTACTCTGCTTCTGCATTCCTCAGGGGTTGGCCAAGAATTGAAGAGGAGTCGATGCACATTTCTCAGCCCCTCCCACTGTGGTTTCTTCATTTAGGAGCCATCCCACTCAACCTCCAGACACTGTGACAACCTGAGACGAGCTCCTCAAGCCAGTCAGACTATAATCTGTTGCTGAAGTTCCACCTGGAACCAGGACTCAACCCTTTCTGGTGTCCCAAACTGTGGCTTAATTGCTACACCAAATGCCTGCCCTCATTTGTAGTCTTTTTAAGCCTTATTTTAAAAAATCCTTTAATGTCCCAGCATCATAAATATAGTCTGTGTATTTTATTTTAAAAATACATTTTTGTGAAGTATTTCTCATATTTAATTTCATTTTTTGTGCATGGCTTAAATTTTATTTTATTTTATACTTTATTTTATTTTATTTTATTTTTCCAGGCAGATAAAACAAGTTTCCTATTTCCCAACGGATTTACCACTGCTTAACAGTCCATTCTTTCTCCTCCACCTCAGGAAGCCTACTCTAGTCCATAAGTACATAAATCTAGTCCATATGTACAAGGAAATCTTCAAAAACTCCCTGGCAAATGTGTATTATGAAAAAAAATTAAGAACAGATTTTAAAATTGTTTATGTCAAAATAAACTTATCATTTAATTCCATTGTTCCAGGAACTTTCTGAAGTACCCTCATATCTCTCTTACCACAGGCTCCAATATTTCAATGTTCTGTCTATGCCTCAAGCCAAACTGCAATATCTTAATTATTATAGCCGTACAATAAAGTCTTTTGTCTAACAGCAAGTCCTTTCACCTTGAACTCCTAAACAATTGTTTGACTGGTATCTTGGCCCTCTAGTCTTTCAAATAAAATGTAGGGGATAAGTTTTTCAAATCACATGGGAAAAAAATCAGCTAAAAAAAATTATCATCTTTAAAATTTCAACCTCGGATTGGTGCAGTGCACCAGCCGCAGTGCGCCGGCCATAGCGGCCATTGAGGGGTAAACCAACGGAAAAAGGAAGACCTTTCTCTCTGTCTCTCACTGTCTAACTCTGCCTGTCAAAAAAAAAAAAAAAAAAAGCAACAAAATAAAAATTTCAAGCCTGCTCATATACAAACTTCATACAATTTTCCATTCACCCATTTCTTCTTTAATATCTTTCCATAAAGTTTTATGAATTTTCCACAAAATTATATGCTGTGATTCATACTACATATTTTAAACATCTTTTAAAAATATTTCATAAATTACCTTTAATTTATCCCAAATTCCTGTCACATTAAATGAATCTCAACATATTATTCACTGAAATTATAAAATTTAAGATTTAGTTCATCATATACAATCTAACAGGTAATGGATAATAATATATTAACACTCTCATTAGCAAGCAAGCTTTTACACAATGGATTATAAGGTTATATCTTATGTACTTACCAAGAAGCTCCACGGTCTCTACTTTCAGTATCTGTGAAATTAGAGTCCAAGAACATATCCTTATAGATTCGACCAACTAGGCAATACATGTCTGAAGCAACCTGCCCTTCACTTTGCACCATGGGAATCATAATGTCAAGAGCTTTGGCTCTATCTCCAGGGAGATTTCTCCTAAGGCAGAAAACATTGTTGATTCAGTATAGATTACAGAAGCAACATAACAGAGATTGGATTATAATTAGTAGTCTTCAGAGCAGTCTTGGTAAAAATATCGTCTCCTAATTCTCTACATAATTACTCTTACTCTACTTTAGGTAACTTTTGTGTGAATGACCATTTGGTAATGAGTATACAGCTGGCCACTGTGTATTGTGCGTTCCACACCTTAGATTTAACAAACCACAGATGGCAAATATTTGGAAGAAAATAGATTTGACTATACTGAACACGTACAGACTTTTTTCTTATTTTCATTCCCTAAGCAGTACAGTACAACAGCTATCTGCACAGTACTTCCATTGTAGTAGGTATTCTAAGTAATTTAGAAGTGATTTCATGTAGATGGGAGAATACGTGCAGGTTACACGCATACATTACACCATTTCATACAAGGGACCTGAACATCTGTGGATTGTGGCATGCACAGCAGTCATGGGCCTGGATCCGATCTCTCACAGATACTGAGAGACTCGGTATTTGCTTCAGCATAGCATCATGTGCATATAACTTCAAAACTATAAACAGCAAATACAAACTTGGGCACAGAAGAGAAAGAACTTTACAAATTTAAATATACAACTAGTGAGGGACTTTTTAAAACTCAAAACATTCAGAAAAGAATCTGAAAGCATGCTTCCTCCATTTCATATGGCTGAGACACATATTATTATTACATTCTCATAGGAAGTGGTCACAATGCTAGAATTAGCACACACCCTGTAAAAATCTTCAGGTGAAGCAATGACACATTAACGCACTATGGCCAGATCTCTCTCTGCTTACCTGTTCAGTGCAAATGCATAATGAAACTTCACATGGTGATGAGAGGCCAAATCAAAGGTTGGCAATTTTTCTAAAGTTTCCACCAGCTGCACAATAGAATCATAATCCTTCCAAACAAGAGCACAGAATTAAACCATTAGGAGAAAAGTTCTCAAAATGGAACAACTTTGGACAACCAGATATCTGAATCCAAGAAGGGATTAAAAAGAGAAGTAAGAATTCACAGAATACTCTGAAGAACCTAGAAGAAACTGCTGTTGCTTTCAAGAGGTTTGGATCGTACATTCTAGTTAAAAACATTAGATAAACAGTCAGCATGTCTGACAACAAACCAAAACAAATGAACAAACAAAAAAATCACTTAGCATGATCACCTTCTTCCTAAATACAAGAGGTACTTCAGTTCACGGAAAATGACATTAAAAGATCAGCTTGAGTGCCAAGAATTTTTTGAAATCCATGCATGGTTTTTTCATAATGCACATTTCCACAAACTTTTTGAAGACTCATGTATGGATTTTAAAAATTTTCATGCCAAAACTAAACTTATCTTTTAAGTCCGTTTATGAATGATTTGAAGTACCTTCCTTATGGGTGATCTAGTTATATTTTATAGAGCCAAATTCCAGGTATTGTGTGTTGTTAACTACTTTTTGGAAAAATAAAAAATTTCAAGGATGTAGAACAACTGACTGAATTCTGTTGTAAGTTTTCTAAAAATCATCCACAGGAATAAGCTACTCCAGCCCTTGGCATCTTAAGTGCCATGGCTCTCGATGTCTGTGGGTTCTCAGGTCCACACGAAGCATTACCCAGACCTGGGAGGCTGGGAGTGGGACTAAGAAATCAGAAGTCACAAAAATTGTACTATAAACAGCAAATGCCAACTTCCTAACCCAGAAAGGATTTTATCCTACTTAACCCATAGTTTTAAAATGCTAGGACATATTAATACAAATGATGCAGTGACTGTGTTTTACTATAGTTTTAAAGCTATTTTAACAATTAACGAATTGCATACTTCCTGTATTTGGCTAGTGAGAGTCTTTCTATTTCAAGCAATACAATTCAATTTCAAGCAACAACTGTCAATTTCAAGCAACACAATTTCAGAATAAAGGCTATATCTAGAAGGCTCTAAAAATTTCTGCTGTTTCCCTAAACCAGCTTTCATTTATTGACTGACAAGTGTGTCTGAGTGGAACAGACTGTACATAGGATAGCCCCATTAGCATTTTTATTGTCTTCTTTTTTTTAAAGGGAAAAATCAGGCCTTTACCATGAAAGTTTTCCTCAATCACTGACAGTTAACTCACAGGAGTCTTCTTTCATCATAAAATCATGGGATGGAAAACTCATGAGAACCAATTAAAAAAAAACTACATATGGTAACAGAAATTTGACATTTGCACTCCCTTCCAACATCCTACAGGACAGATTTTACTGTTAAGTATCTTCTTACCTGGATATCTCTGTAGGAAAGTAACAGGTTGATCACAATATCTGCTGTCAAGACTTCAATATTATCTACTCGTTGCCGAATTCTTGCCAATTCAGCTGCCAATTCTTTACCAGTGTATAAATTTCGAGCTTTCCTGATATCGCTGAGTATAGATTCACGGAAATATTGGCTGTGGAGAAACCAAAACACATTCCAAAGATTTCAATAAAAATAGTAATTTTATAAGAAAATGAATGACATTTGTGTACTCATAGCTTTCAATTACTTAGTGTGAACAGAATGAATATCTCATAATCTGTCATTATTTAGAAATTTTGAAGTCCCTGTATTTCCTTTCATATTCTGTCTTGTTTCAAAAAGAGTTATAAGGAACACTATGTAAATGAATCTCCATGCATCGTACCACTTAAACCACAAAACCACATTTTTGATTGACTTTTCTGAGCAGGAATTGTTCTAAATCATATAACCTGTACTTTCTGACTCAGCATCATTTATGAACATAAACATTTGCTCTTAATCAACATCTGCCTCAGCAATTTTTGCAGAATTCTTGTCCTTATGCTGAAAAGTCCTTGGACCTTATTCTGATAAGGTTTCGGTATGTATTTTAGCTCTGACACTCCTATAAAGCAGTTAGTAGTCTTTATTCCTTCTGATACCAAGTTGTCCTGTGAGTAAAATAAACACAAGGCAACATGTGAACTATATGACATCTATGAGTATATTATCTGCTTGCAGGGGTGGGGAACCTTTTCTCTGCCAAGTGCCATTTGGATATTTATGACATCAAGCATGGGACAAACTAAATTATCAACTTAAAAATTAGCCTACCATAGATTTACTGAATTTCAAATCCCACCCATGATTGCCTTTGCAGGGCCAGACTAAATGATCTCACTGGCCTTATACAGACTGCCAGCGAGATATTCCCTACCCCGGAAGACAGTGTGCAACATTTATCCTGGTTCTTAGCTGTATATTGATTCCTGAGGATCATCGTCTATGGATAAGTAAAAGAAGTAGAACCATTCCTTATCATCACCAAATGGTGTTATTGCACATTACCTGGAACTTGCCTGTGCCACCTTCAAAAGTCGAATGAAACGATCCACAAGAGGTAAGCAGATGGGTCCGAGAAGCAGCTCCAAGTTGGGTTGCATGAGCTCAGTCAAGCCCTTCATGAGGCTGCTGTCACAGCAGTAGACCTTGTTGTGTGGTGTCACCATGTAAGGGACAAAGGTGTAGTTCCCAGTGCACATCTGTGGAGACAGCAGGCACCAGGAGGTAGGGAGCCAGCCTGAGGACACCACACGGACGAATCCCAGGCCCGACTCCAGTGACTCGTATTAAATAACACTTCTGAGTGCAAATATAGAAAAACCTCGCATTGTATGTATGATATATGAAAATAGAAATTTTCCCCAATTTCTTTAATTGCTTACTTCAAATAATTAGGACTTGGAAAGGAGGCAGAAACAAAGTGTGGAACAGTTTTTGTCACTCAATTAAATATTGATTCACCACCTTTCCTGGCTAAGGCACTATGATAGATGCTGTAGGAAAAATAGTTTAAAGCACAGCCTTTGGCCTTCAGGGAATTTAAAATGTACTCCGAGAAGCACAGCATAAACACAGGATACTAAGAGTTAACATTTAAAGGGCTTCCTACGTGACAGGCTGTGTTGTGAGGGAGACAGGAATGAAGCTGCTCCTCTCCAGGCTGCTGGTTCAGTCTGAGGTTCCATGAGTCCCCGGTTATTACCCAGAGACCCAGAAACTATCCTTGCTGCATCCATTTCCTTCCTGCCCCATATCCCACCAAAATCCTATCTATTGTGTCTTCAAAACAGATCTCCTGATTGCTCACTTGCCTCCATCTTCCGTGTCAGCTCTTTCGTCCCTGCACCAGCTCACTGGGTACGAAGTCACTGTAATTGGTGGCCCTGCTTCCTTCCTTGCCTTTCAATCCATTCTGTACCCCGCTGGCAGCGAGCTGTAACACTCCGCAGGTCCTGAGCACTCGTGCAGCTGCTGAGAGCCCCACCATGTGCTATTCAGGCTGACGATGAAACACTGCAGTGTGGTCCACAAGGGCCTGAATAGCCACATCCTGCTACCCTCTAACCTCAGCTCAGGCCTCTCTCCTCTCACTCATTCCACCCCAGGCTCACTGACCTTCTTTGGCTCCCAGATGATGCCAAGTGAGGGTGTGGCAACACCAACAAAAGCAAAGCTGGCAAGAAGAAAAAGGGAGTTGGCCTAGACATGCCAGAGTAAGCAAATCTGAGCAAAGCCTGGGGCTCAAGGAAGGGAAGTGCACGCAAAGAGCAGGATTCAGAACTGCACAAGGGGTCTTCAACAATGCATGGAAAATGTATTTCAAGAAAAAAACAACACATGGATTTCAAAATCTTTCACACCAAACTGCTTTCCACTCTGCTCCCCAAACTTTCTGAAGTACCCTCGTGTATGCTGGGCAGTGGAGAATCATAGAAAGACCAAGATCTTCTGTATATAAAGATAATTGAAAATGAATCCTAAAAAAGAAAAAAAAAAAAGAAAATGAATCCTGATGAAGAATGGGATTGGAGAGGGAGTGGTAGATGGGATGGTTGCAAGTGGGAAGGAGGTTATGGGAGAAAAAGCCGCAACAATTCCAAAGTTGTACTTTGTAAATTTATATTTATTAAATAAAAAAAAGAAATTAGAATTGAGTCTGAGTGGATCATGGGACGCACCCCAGGACAAAAAAAAGAAGAATTTGAGGAAATTCAACAGGAAGCTACAAAGCATGACCAGATTGGCAGCAGTGGCAAGAGCAAAACAGGCACATGTGCTCCCACCCCAAAGGAAGCCTCACTGGCCCACTTCCAGGTCTGGACAAAGTGAAAGGAGGGGTCAAAGGTGATTCCACAGTCTCAGCTGGGGCTATCTCAAAAGACTGGCATCTTTCACAGAAAGCCAGTACAGTCAGACTACATCATTTATGAACATAGTGCACTTTGAGGCACTTACTATACATCAGGTCATGAATCACAAACAGAATCTGGCTTCCCATTAAACTATGAGGAAAACTTGAGAAGACTGACATTTGATTTGGTGTAGGATGAGATGAAATGGCGCTGAGAGAGGTTGAGATTTAAAGGATCAAGAGTTTGAGATTTAATATCATAACATCCAAAAGAAGAGTTGACTCAGAGGAAATGGGAGAGACCCATAAGAGATAAACCATATGCAAAGGTAAAAACCAAGGGTTACAAACAAGAACAAGATATGTGGAAGACCCTACTCTCACTGTTATGGGATCACAAGGAATCCAGGGCATGGGTTCGCAGTCATTTCGGCATACGATCAACCTGAGAATAGTTCTCTTCCCCTTGGCACTAAATGAGTAAGAGCAAACATTCACTTACCACTCCCATGTACCATGGTACAGACGGTCACACATTCACCATGACCCTCTGAAGAAGGTGCGCTTGTCTCCACTTACAGGTGAGGCGTGGAGAGGATATGCAACTGGTCCATGATTGCTTGGGGACCCTAGCCCAGGCACTCTTTGCTTAGAGGGTATGTCACTTTTACCAGTGGGTTATGCATCCTCTCCTGTGCACTTTACAAGGTGGCACACCCATTCTCCAACCTTCTGTCGTCTGCATGAGCCAACTGACTGCTCACAGCAAACAGACTCAGGAAGTGCCCAATGCCTGCCATTATTTATGGACACATCACACTTTGAGGAACTTGTGTGTCAGGTCATGAAACAGATACCACATCTGACTTCCAGCTGAAGTCCAAGAGGAGAGCTCCTAGTCTAAGTCTAAGAGGATAGCTCCAAGAGCTTGAGGTTTCAGTTTTTAAGTCAAGTACACTACAATGTTCCTTTAAAAGTTCTGCTTCAGGGCAGGTGCTCTGGCGCAGTAGGTTCAGCCTCTGCCTGTGGTGCCAGCATCTCATATGGTCACCGGTTCGTGTCTTGGCTACTCCTCTTCTGATCCAGCTCCCTGCTATGACCTTGGGAAAGCAGCTGAGGATGGCCCAAGTGCTTGGGACCCTGCATCCATACAGGAGACCTAGCAGAAGTTCCTGGTTCCTGGCTTTGGACCAAGCCCAGTTCTGGCAGTCACGGCCATTTGGGGAGTGAAGCAGCAGATGGAAGACCTTTCTCTCTGCCCCTCTCCATCTCTGTCTGTAACTCTACCTCTAAGATAAATAAACAAAATCTTAAAAAAAAAGTTGTACTTCATGGGACAATACTTGGAAGACTAACCAGGAAGAGGGAAAGTGAAAACATTTTGCTTCTAAAATGTTACCAAGAAACCAAAGCATGTCCTCCCAATTTAATCCTTTGACTCAAGCTACTGCCTCTGCAGAAAAGAAAGGCTAGGATACCACACAGGTTGTTTTCCAAACGTAGAGCTTAAACTGAACGTGAGCTACAAAAGGACAAAGGAATCAGATACTCCTGTTGTACATAAGCACCATAATTCAAAAGTACAAAAGTCATTATTCTGACTTCTCTGAGTCACAAAATAAGAATAGCTGAAAAGCCAGTACACCAGAAGAGCACAATCAGAACTTTAGTATATTATTCTTTTGCTACTGAAAAAAGGTCTGGATCCACAGAAGCTATCATTCCAAGTGCATTTATGTATAAGACACAAAATGTCAAAGATCATTGAACTAGTGGGCAATGGGGGAGAATGACTATCAGAGTCTAGGTGTGACCTAGGCAGTGGAGGGGGGAGTGAGAAAAATGACTACGCAGGCAGCAGGGAAAAGCAGTCCCCAGAACAAATCCCATGATGCAAAGCTTCAGTACCCTCGCTGCCCCACACACTTTTTTTTTTTTTTTTGCTGTTTCCCCTTGTCAATCTCAGACAAAAAAGGGAGTGCGATAAGCTGAAGGAGGCTCCTGGGTGCCAGGGGCCCTAAATGAAGAGAGCCCACGGACTCTGCAGCAGGGGAGAGTGCAGAGTTGGTATGGTGATGTTGTGCTTCTTAAAAAGGTACCAACTATTGAGAAAAGCACTTTTTCAAATTGTTGAAAACTAATAATATGGGAACACTTATTTCCCAAGTTGACTCACTAGAACTTAGAAATGTTATTACTGTAATTTTTATTTTCAACTTGCCAAGAGACCACAGGATGAAATAGGTGATGATTCAAGGTACATACAAACAGCCAGAGAGTGATCAAGAAAGGCACCTGAAGTCCAAGAACTGCCTTTTATTAATATGGTACTTATTCTAAGCTGATTAAAGTCTTAAACCTCTTGAGCCGGCGCCGTGGCTCAATAGGCTAATCCTCCACCTTGCGGCGCCGGCACACCGGGTTCTAGTCCCGGTCGGGGCGCCGGATTCTGTCCCGGTTGCCCCTCTTCCAGGCCAGCTCTCTGCTATGGCCAGGGAGTGCAGTGGAGGATGGCCCAGGTGCTTGGGCCCTGCACCCCATGGGAGACCAGGAAAAGCACCTGGATCCTGGCTCCTGCCATCGGATCAGCGCGGTGTGCTGGCTGCAGCGGCGGCCATTGGAGGGTGAACCAACGGCAAAGGAAGACCTTTCTCTCTGTCTCTCTCTCTCACTGTCCACTCTGCCTGTCAAAAAAAAAAAAAAAAAAACCCTCTTGCTTCATGTAAGAGATGGACTCCATTTCCTTACATTTCAAAACATTAAGATGTGATCACAAAGTAATACTGATCCCTCTGGCCGATGCTTCTCCCCCACCCCCAATGACTGTAAAATCCCACAGCTCAACATCTACTCCTCCTCCATCTAATTGTCTTCACTGTTAAAGAAAAAAATGCCATTTCTGTTTTTCAATCTTTAAAAGCTACCTAAAGATGAACATTAAGTGTTTAAGGAAAGATGAACTAAGCTTCTAGAAATAAAAGCTCCCAGTATCTAGACATTAAGATATTCAAATAGGCTGAAAATACTCAACTTCTTAAAAGGACATCCAGCATCTGACACCCAGCAGCTTTCTCAAGTCAGTCGGCAACGTGTTTGTGATGTGTAATAGGTGCTTCTCCATGCATCCAAAGGAGCCAGGCCTGGCGGGCTCCTTCCCATCATGCACTTTGCAGAGAAGGCTACTTCCTCTGAAGGACCCTGATGCCAAGGCCACCTGCCGCCCACTCTTCAGCACATCACCTTATGGTAAGATTTTAATTGGTTTCTTTGCTTACTTCTTTACTTACTGCCCTCCCCCCCTGCCACTCCAGACCCTGGCACACTTCATCTGCTGCCTCCACTCTCAAGTTTCCAAGAAAGGCCCCTCTCATACCAAGCCCAAATCCTGGCACACAGTACATGCTCAATCAATGTTTGCTTGATAAAAATTTTTACAGTGAATCAAAGTTCATTTCCTGTTAGGATTAAAGGGATAAAGGTTTACAACGACAACATTATTTATGCGGCAATGAGTATCTCACCCAGAGAAATCTCAACTTGAGTTAAGAAATTTCTAGTCTAAGGGAAAACTACCAATTGTCAATTAATCTTAAGTGGAATCCTGCACAGCCTTTATGTGGTGCACTATACTATTTTTACTCCCAGCTGTGGCAGTGGCTTACTTTCCAAAGTGAAATACACAACCACTGGCTTAACATGACTGTTTCCACTGCCTATTGTAACTTTTCTCCATGCAGCATTTTGTCCAACTTAAAATGCATTTTTATCACATTTAATTCTGTGTGGAAGGTAGGAATTCTATAATATGGTAACAAAAATGGTCTAAATACTTATGAATTTAAATTTCTAAATGCAAGATAGATGGATCTATCTATACAGGTATGGTATATATAAATTTACAAATGCTAATAAATATATTCCTCTGTGTTTGTGTGTGTGTATACTTCAGAAATTGTGGAAATGGGCCAGCGCCGTGGCTCACTAGGCTAATCCTCCGCCTTACAGCGTCGGCACACCGGGTTCTAGTCCCGGTCGGGGCGCCGGATTCTGTCCCGGTTGCCCCTCTTCCAGGCCAGCTCTCTGCTGTGGACAGGGAGTGGAGTGGAGGATGGCCCAAGTGCTTGGGCCCTGCACCCCATGGGAGACCAGGATAAGTACCTGGCTCCTGCCATCAGATCAGCGTGGTGCTCCGGCCGCAGCGTGCCGGCCGCGGTGGCCATTGGGGGGTGAACCAACGGCAAAGGAAGACCTTTCTCTCTGTCTCTCTCTCACTGTCCACTCTGCCTGTCAAAAAAAAAAAAATTGTGGAAATGAAGTTAAACGGCTGAAATCATATATAAAGGACCAGTACTGTGGCATTGGAGGAGAGGCGGCCTGCAGAGCCAGCATCCCATGTGGGTGCTGGTTCAAGTCCCGGCTGCTCCACTTCCAGTCCAGCTCTCTGGTATGGCCTAGGAAAGCAGTAGAAGGTGGCCCAAGTCCTGGGGCCTCTGCACCTACATGGGAGACCGAGAAGAAGCTCTTGGCTCCTAGCTTCAGATCAGCTCAGCTGTGGCTGTTGTGGACATTTAGGGAGTGAACCAGTGGATGGAACACCTCTCTCTCTCTCCCTCTCTGCCTCTGCCTCACTGTAACTCTACCTTTGAAATATATTTTTTTTAAAAAAGAGGAATGTTTATAAGTTCATGGAATGTACATTATGAAAAAACTATGCATGGATTTCATACTACTTTAGAACAGATTTACTTATTTGAAAGGCAAAATAAGAGGGAAGGAGAGCCAGGGAGTACAGTGGAGGATGGCCCAAGTGCTTGGGCCCTGCACCCCATGGGAGACCAGGAGAAGTACCTGGCTCCTGCCATCGGATCAGCGCGGTGCGCTGGCCGCAGCATGCCGACTGCGGCTGCCATTGGAGGGTGAACCAATGGCAAAGGAAGACCTTTCTCTCTGTCTCTCTCTCTCACTGTCCACTCTGTAAAAAGAATAATACATAGAGGGAAGGAGAGAAAGAGGGGGAGGGAAAGAGGAAAGGGGAGAGACAGAGAGAACAAGTGAGCCAGCAAGCCAGCAAGTTTCCATCCCCTGGTTCAGTAGCCAAATGGTGTGGACCAGTCCAAAGCCAGGAGCCTGGAACTCCATCTGTGTCTCCCATGTGGGTGGCAGGGATCTAAATACTTGAGCCATACTCTGCTGTCTTCCCAGGTGCACTGGCAGGAAGTGGATGGGAAGCAGAGTATCCAGGACTCAAACAGGACTCCAATGTGGGAGTCCCAGGAGGCAACTCAACCCAGGGCTCCACAACTCCAATCTAGGATTCTAAATTTTTTTGCACACCAAAAAAGGTTACTCCATTTTCCATGAATGTCTGAAGTATACTCATATATGCTACTTCAGTGTCACCTGTAATTCCACAATATTGGGCATAATATGGAAATTTTTTTCCAAAACATAATTACAGGAAAAAAAGCCAACAAGTAATATTGTTTACCATTAGTATAAATAAAGCTTCACTACAATGGAGTATTTATATAAGACAATCATATTTATATTGATATGTCAGAAATCCTAAAGAGGAATAACACACAAATCAGTAATTTGCAGAGATTAAAATACCCCAGACATGACTCAATAGAAAAGAAAAAATTTCAGAAAGACGAAGTAAAATACTCACAGTATTCTTCTGGCAAATAATTTCCTGAAAAACAAAGGGGAGAAAATTACAACGTAAGTTAATATAGAAGCCCACTATCCCAGTGGCTCTCATTGAACTCTTCTATGTGGGAAACTGGTGTTAACAATTATTTAAGCAGTGGCAAAGCTCAGAGTGTCAAGTTCCTGCACCTGAAAAGTTTACAATCTGATGGTCTACAGCTGTAGGAAAATAGCACAAATCTGCAAAACTCAAACTGAACAACCCAGAACAGAGGGGTGCTGAATTACCTGATCAGTCACCACCTTTTGGGAAAAGGTTAGAACAAGTTTGTTTTCCCTAAGTACAACCTCACTCACACCCTGGGAGGGAAGCAAGCAATGCTCTCCACGTTGGATAGTTGGAAATAAAAGGTGTTGGCCACTGGCCAGTCTATGCAAATAAGAACATCTGAAAACAAACAGTCCCGACTTTCACTGCAGGACGTTTCAATAAAAAGTGGAACGGGCTCAGTACATCGTGTGGGCAGTGTCCATATCTTCTAGGAGGTCAGGTGTGAGATTGTGCAGATAACATAGCTATGCAGTGCCCAGAGCACAGAAAGCCCTCTAGGATAGCTTTGCTATCATACTTACTTTTCCTTGATATTCAATTGATGAAAGACATAGGAGGAGACAACTGAGAAAAGCCTATGGGATAAATGCTTCACTGAGACTGGGAGCTGTGATTAAAAAAAAAAGAAAACGGGACAGCGTTTTCTGGAAAAGATGGCATTATGTTGTCATGGAAACAGGAAAGGTAAGGCATTTGTGAAGCCCCAGGACTGAGCCCACCTGGCTACGAAGAGGAGCCAGATCAGGTGAGGTCAGGGAGCAGAGATGTGGGGTCCCGCTGCCCCCTCACTGTCCTTCAGGCCAGGGTCAGCAAGCAAATCGCCAAGGGGGGACAGGGGCACCCCCCAGGACTTTGGCTTAAAGTTTATCAGGATTTTTATCATGTAAGGACAGAAGGATGAGAAAACAAAAGTTCATGGAGGAAGAAATTGTGCTAGGTAGTTTTGAGAGCCATAAAGATGTATATACAACACTAAATGCTATCGAGTACTTCACAATCTTGATGATTTAAAAAGGACATATACACATTTTAAAAGAAATATTTTAGGTCTAGATGGACATGCATGTCCAAATACACATGCATAAAAAGTCCAGGTGACGAGAGACAGTAAGGGTGATGCAGTCTCAGAGGAAGGTGTTGGAATGCCCGGAGGAGGTCAGAGAGGAATGTCGGGTAAGGTGGAACTCGGGCTGAGCTGCAGAGGGCAGACAACTTCCAGAGGCAAAGACAGGAGGGGGAATCCAGGCCAGAGATGTAGGAAAAGCACAGGCTGTTTATGGGACAATACAAGTTACCGGGAGCTAAGGAAGATGGTATGCTGGGGAAGTGTAGAGGAGAGGATTAAACAAGTATATAGAAAAGATCATGAATTTAATCATTGGGCTTAAGCAGGAAATGCATGTCAGAACACACAGATGATAGGACTAGAAAGCTGTCTGAGGCCTGACTGAAGAAGACTTTGCATGTCAAAATAAAGCACTCTGTCCTACGTACACTTAACAGATGACGTGCTCTTCAAGATGAGTGACTTGAATCAAGAAGCATCAGCACAAACTGGGCCACCATTACAGCAAAGGTTGGGGACAATGTAAATGTCCATCACCTAGAAACTGTTCAATGAACACTGAGCCTCTGTACAATGGAACACAGCACAGCTCAACAAAGACTGGGCAAGTTCTTCCTGTAGTGATAGGGAAAGATCTCCCAGACACACTGCTAAGTGCACAAAGCAAAGGAGAGAAGACTTTACCCTATGCTCCTAATTAAGTAAAAAGGGGAGAAATCCTAATTTGCACACTCACAGATCTCTCGCAGGAGATAAAAAAAAAAAAAAAAAGGAATAATGGTGGTTGCCATTAAAGTCAGCCGGCTGGCTAGGGGATAAAGGGGACAACACTTCTTCCTATACATCTTTTTGAACTTCTACATTTTTTTTTAAATCAGGTGAATACATGACAAATAACTAAAACATGAATACTGTTAGAAATTTAGAAATATGAATTAGATAGTGGTATTCAGTATCTGTGTGGAGAACAGGCACTCAAGTGGACACCTCAATAAGCCTTGGGAAATGGCGGAGCTCACAGGAGTGGAAATCCCGGCACAGAAGACTGACACTGAGGGGAGGTGGGACAGGGCTTTTCTTACAGAGGCAGTTATAGCGTATCACACACACATACGCACACACATACACATGCATACACAGCATGGTTCTGGACCACTAACTAGCAAAGTGCTGGGTGATCACAAAGCCAGAGCATAAAATGCAGGATTTTCCAGACTTGATCTCTGGAGCATCTCTCCAGGGCTTGCAAACAGTCAACCATGGGCTTGCAGACAGCCAGTGGTCTCTTCTTGGGGGACTGCCTGCCTCTCTGCCTTCTAAGAAACAAGCAGTGCCCTTCTCGTCACCCTCCTTGCAGAGAGCCCAAGAAACCTTTCTTGTGAAACTGGCCTGAGCTGACTCACACGAAGCCAATCCTCCCAAGTGGAGATCATGGCATATTTTTGTCATTCTTGACCCTCAGATCTCTGACAGTGCTTCAGATACCACATCACATGTTTTTGTTCATGTGTTTCTTCCATCCTACCTCATGAGCTTCTTGGGTGCAAAGACCATGTGTTTTGTTCTATCCCCACTGGTTGCCAACAAATGCCATGGCATATACTCAATAAAAGCAATAAAATGAATAAATGAATGAATGCACAAAATGTATGGAAACTCATACTGAACAGCTGGCCATGTGTCATTTCATGTCTCTCAAATGTGACACATGAAAAGAGTTGGACTGGGTGGCTGCTGGGCTCTTCCAACTCTGTATTCTATCTATCATTTGCTTTTACTAAAGGCCTATCACATTCATTGTTGTCTTTGTCCCACTGGAGGGAGAGATGTCCTCATGTTCCACTGGTACAGGAGCTACCCTGACACTGTTTTTCTTTGGGTGCACCAAGCACCTAGATGAGAGTGAGTGAGAAGGGAGCAGTGGGGAGGCACAGGGAAGAAAAAGCTCCAGAGAAACCACCACAGCCGGCACTGTGGCACAGCAGGAAAAGCCACCTCCTGTGACATAGGCATCCCATGTGGGTGCTGGTGCAAGACCCAGCTGCTCCACTTCCAATCCAGCTCCCTGCTAATGGCCTGAGAAAGCAGCAGAAGATGGCCCAAGTGCTTGGGCCCCTACACCCAGATGGGAGATCTAGAAGAAGCTCTCGGCTCCTGGCTTTGGCCTAGCTCAGCTCAGCCCTGCCAGTTGCAGCTATTTGGGGAGTGAACCAGCGGATGGAAGCAAGCTCACTCGCTTGCTCTCTTTCTCTCTCTCTCTCTCTCTCTGTGTTTTCTTTCTGTGCAAGTCTGACTTTTAAATAAATCAATAAATCTCAAAAAAAGAAAATTACCATGGCCACTGTGGACTTATGGCCAACATGCTGTGTTCCCAAGGAACACACTGAAATAACAACCAGTTGTTTTTATCTTAGGTGGTGTTATAACTAGGTATGCAGCTATGGTCAAGTTATCCCTACAGGTATCTACTGGGTCCTTTTTAACTACTGCTCACCTTTCACTGTGGCTAAATAGATACAAATCATTCTCCTGAAGGAGACAGAGTTTACTCACGGCTGATGATGTAACCCAAATGAGTCATCAACTTTAAAGGGAAAAAGGTACTATTTGTCCATTGTAACTTTGTCCAAGTAAACAGCAAACAAAACCTCAAGAGGTACTTAACTCCTGAGGGAGAAAAGACAGTGTTTATTTGTACTGAACCCACTAAAGGAGGAGAAAAAGGAAATGGAGTAAATTTAAGACATACTGCTATATTTCATATCACATTATAGAGGCTTCACATTTAAAGTGACTATAAATTTTAAAAAGGGCCGGTGCTGTGGCACAATAGCTTAATCCTCTGCCTGTGGCACCAGCATCCCAAATGGGCACCGGTTCTAGTCCTGGCTGCTCCTCTTCCAATCCAGCTCTCTGCTGTGGCCTGGGAAAGCAGTAGAAGATGGCCCAGGTGCTTGGGCCCCTGCACCTGCGTGGGAGACCAGGAAGAAGCTCCTGGCTCCTGGCTTTGGATCAGTGCAACTCCAGCCATTGTGGCTATTTGGGGAGTGAACCAATGGAAGGAAGACCTTCCTCTCTGTCTCTCCCTCTCACTGCCTGTAACTCTATCTCTCAAATAAACAAATAAAATCTTTAAAACAAATTAAAAAAAATCTGCACAAACTCCAGTTCCTGAGGAATGAATATTTTGGGCAAATGCAAGACCCCACTATGATGTCAAACCTGCCTGAAGTCTTTAGGGAGCTTTTGGCTATACCAGAAATACCCACAACATTTCCTTTCTATTTTCCAGTATTTCTGATACCGAAATCTGAAAGAAAGACACTAGAGACCATCCGGATTGGGACTCACTCCAGGGGAAGACAAAGCCTGGACAATACAACTTTGAAGAGGCCAGCTTAGGGAAAAATAAATGGAATGGTTACAAAAACAGAAAGCTTTTTTGCCTAAAATCTAGGTCATCACAGCCAAGGGCAGGGAGGGGAACACTTGGTGTGGTGTGGCCACATCAAACTGGACTCAAAGTGGAAGATGCACTAGGCTCTCAGCTTTCTGGAAGACGAGAATGGATCTGGCTGGGAGTTCTTGCCCAGGGAAAGCGCATGGCCCGCAGACATGACCTCCCGATTTCTCCCTTCTAACCCATCTTTCTGTCCTAGTAGAACTTGGCAAGTACCCAATTCAAGTTAGGGGAAAGAGGGATTATTTTCTGTTCTTAGTGAGCTCTACCCTCTTACCTAATCTGAATGATTTCCAGCTAACAAGGAAGTAGCAGATGGGCTCGTGCAGGTATCCTGGGCCCCGCTGGCAGGGTGGGAAACTCCCTTACCCTTTCTGTGCACTGCTGAAGAAAACTGGGCAGCCT